CCCAGACGGTGTGGGGGGCGGCCGCGTCCGCCGGCGTGTCCCCGGCGCCAGCGGGGTGGCGTCTGTCTGCCTGGAAGCCGGGATGGGGAGCCTGGAGCCGGCTGAGAGCCGCCGCCTCTCCCCGCCCTGCTCGGGGCCGAGCCCTCCCGGCCCAGGCTGTGCGCAGGCGGGCTGGCCGCTGCCGCCTGTTGCAGGCCCGCCTCCTTCCCGCTTTGCCGCGCTGGGACCTTGTCTTGGCGTCTGGACACGTTATCAGTCTCTGTCTCTGGGGCTATCAGGGGGAGGCGTGCTTCTGAATCTGAGTCTTGCCCCACGCACGTAGGACTCTCTCCCTTTCGGCCGGGGGTTCCGCCCCTGCCCCCCGAGGGGAGGCGGGCTTCACGCGGCAGTGCGGTGAAATGGGCCCCGGGAAGGTGAGGGCTCAGAAACCGCTTGATGCCTAGGCCCGAAGGGAGGAATTGGATGATGGTGGGCGGTGGTGGGTTGCGACGGGCCACAGAACGTTTATGAAGTGAGTTTTGGGGCAGCAGCCTTGTGTTGGCCGCGGTGCCCTGCCCTAGGGTGAACAAAAGGCAGATACAAATCGGATGCTCCGGAGAGGGGCTCACAGCTGTACGGAGGGCACAAGCATCAACCTGTTTGCAAGCCCGCCTTGCGTACCCGGTGCTGCGGGACTAGCTGGCTGATCTAGGAAGGCTCCCGCGGGGAGCTGAATTTAGACTAGGCAGCCGCGGCTTGCTTTCCCTCAGGCTTTGAGGATGGATGCTTGAACTGGAGTCGCCCACCCCTGGCGTTGTCTGACACCGCACACAAAATCCTCACCACCTCAGGGTGAATGTTTTTGAGAGAAGGCTCGTATTTTTCATCAGATTCTCAAAGGCTCCTGCCCTTATTCCTATTGGTTCTTGCCCCCTAGTATTGGCAATTCCTTGTTTAAAAAGACGATCAGGAGATAGGTGAGCATATGATATAACGCCAATGCTTTCCTAGGAATTCTGTAGCTAACCAAAGAGCTGAGAGCCACATGTAACCTATGCTTGTGCAAGGAATACGCGTGTGGATCCCTGGTCGGCCAGGTGTGGGTGGTGCTCAGTGCCGTCGTCCCAATTAACCTAACGTCCCATTTTTGCTTTTTCCCTCAGGAATTTTATTGTTACTGGCTTACAGGATATCGATAAGTGCAGACAGCAACTTCATGATATTACTGTCCCTTTAGAAGTTTTTGAGTAAGTAGCGTTCTTGGTATTCTAATTATTGTTTAGTTTTGCTGTAATCATTTCCTCAACTACCAGTATATAAGTGTCTGCTATGTGGCAGGCATGGTCTGGGTGCTTCGTATATGTTAGGGAAGAAAACAGACAAAAATCCCTGCTGTCATGGAGCTTGTGTTCTAATGGGATTAAACCATTAAAAAAAAAAAAATCTCAGGGACTTACCTGGTGGTGCAGTGGCTGAGAATCCGCCTGCCAAGGCAGGGGACACGGGTTCGAGCCCTTGTCTGGGAAGATACCACATGCCACGGAGCAACCTAAGCCCGTGCGCCACAACTACTGAGCCTGCGCTCTAGAGCCCGTGCGCCACAACTATTGAGCCTGTGCTCTAGAGCCCACATGCCACAACTACTGAGCCCATGTGCCTGGAGCCCATGCTCCGTAACAAGAGAAGCCACCGCAATGCAACAAAGAGTAGACCCTGCTTGCCGCAACTAGAGAAAGCCCGCGCGCAGCAACGAAGACCCAATGCAGCCAAAAATAAATTAATTAAAACAACTCAGTATCGTATTGTTTAAAAAGAGTTACATGTGAATAAAGGCTTTTTGAATATGTGAAGAACATGCTAGGCTCTTAAAATCTTGCTTATATAAAAGGACAACCACATGAATTCCTTTTTTTTTTCTTGAGAAGGAAAAAGTCTTATGCAGCTATATTATAAATTAAAAAAAATTAAAACAACCCGAGAAGTATGAATTTGGTCTGGTATCCCTGAGACTGCCCTGGCAGTGCTGGTTCTAGGAGATGATAATATCTGCTCTGTTGAAAAAAAAAGTTCTTAGGCCAAGTATGTTGGTAAGTCTTTTTACCGTCTTCTGCGAGAGTTACCTGCACCTGGGCACAGTCCTGGCCTAGAGACGCCTCTAGGAAATAAACTCTTTTATTAGGTTTTATCCATCCAGGTTTTATCACACTGATTTCACAGGTGAAAGAACCAGTAAGTTACTGTAGTGGCTGTTTAGCTAGTCAGTGTCAGAGCTGAGACTAAAATTCTGGACTTTTTTTTAAAAATTTTATTGATGTATAGTTGATTTACAGTGTTGTGTTAATTTCTGCTGTACGGCAAAGTGATTCATCTATACATATATATATTCTTTTCCATTATGGTTTATCACAGGATATTGAATATAGTTCCCTGTGCTACACAGTAGGACCTTGTTGATCCATCCTGTATTAGCATCTGCTAACCCCAAACTCTCACTCCATCCCTCTCCCACCCCCCTTCCCCTTGGCAACCAAAAATCTGTTCTCTGTGTCTGTGAGTCTGTTTCTATTTCATAGATATGTTCATTTGTGTCGTGTTTTAGATTCCACATATAAGTGATAGCTTGTGATATTCGTCTTTCTGACTTCACTTAGTATGACAATCTGTAGGTCCATCCATGTTGCTGTAAATGGCATTATTTCATTCTTTTATGGCTGAGTAATATTCCATTGTGTATATATATACACACCACATCTTCTTTATCCATTCATCTGTGGATGGACACTTAGGTTGTTTCCATGTCTTGGCTATTGTAAATAGTGTTTCTGTGAACATAGGGGTGCGTGTATCTTTTTTTTTTTTTTTAGCGGTACGCGGGCCTCTCACTGTTGTGGCCTCTCCCGTTGCGGAGCACAGGCTCCGGACGCACAGGCTCAGCGGCCATGGCTTACGGGCCCAGCTGCTCCACGGCGTGTGGGATCTTCCCGGACCGGGACACGAACCCGTGTCCCCTGCATCGGCAGGTGGACTCTCAACCACTGCGCCACCAGGGAAGCCCCGTGTATCTTTTTGAATTATAGTTTTGTCTGTGTATATGCCCAGGAGTGGAATTGCTGGATCATATGACAGCTCTATTTTTAGTTTCAAATCCTGGACTTGTGTTGACCAGGCCCAGTTCTCTGGGCCAAGCAGCCTCCCTCCCAGAGCTGGCTTGGAACAGCAAGAGTATTCTGGGGCTTTTTGCAGTAAAACTGCAAATGTAAATCACTAGAGTTCCTTGAACAGTAAAAGGAAAAGTTACCTTTTTACATCCCCAAAGGTCAGAGATGAAAGTCCCAGTTACAGCACAGCTCAGCAGCTGGCCACCAAGTCAGGACACATAGGCTGCAGTTTTCCCAGCCTCAGCTCTGTCCTCACCTGCTGGCCGAGGTGTCACGTGTTCCCAGGTGGGAGCGAAGGTCTGTCTTGTGCGTGTGTTGCAGCTCTAGACTCCTGCTCGTGAAGTGTGGCAAGGTGGAGGCTGATTTCCCTTCCTTAAGTGTCCTCATTAGAGTCATTCTGGTCACGAGTGTGTGGGTTGAGTATATTGACAGATGCCAAGGAACTACTCCTGGCTTCTGAAGTGGAGTAAATGAGAGGAAGACAGATGGGGAAGACCGCTGAAGAGGCGGGGGCAGTGAGGCCTTGGCCAGCACAGCCGGAGCCGGTGGGTGCAGGGACAGCGGAGACCCATGTGGGACTTGGGATGGGGTGGCCTCTCAGCGCCCAGCAAGCAGCAGATCTGAGCTGTCGGTCAGTCTGTGCCGATGTAGAAGGGTCTCCAGGCCTGTCCTCAGGCACGCCGACTGCGTCTGGAACAGAGACGCCAACGTAAACCTCAGCCCTTCTGCCCGATGCTTGGGGTTGGTGAGTTGGCAGAAGTGGGAGTCAACCCTCGAGTCTTCAAAGAAGAGCCCGATCCAAACGACATCACTGTCAAAAGGGGTTGTTTATTTAGGACATTTGGGCCTGTTGGGGGTTTTTCCCCCCCAGAAATGGATGGATTTTGCTTAGGATTTAACCAGAATGTTGCTTTTTTCATTCCATCATTTCAAATACATCACAATAAAATGGGATTTCTAGAACTTTTGATTTATTAGTATTTCTCTATCAAAAGCCAGTTTTTATGCCATTAACAGCAACCTAACAGTGTCTTTAATCTGAAGTGATAATTTTTTTTAACTGAAGCATAAAAATGCATAAATCAGACTTAGTGTAGTGGTGGTGGTTTTTGTTTCTTTGTAACGAGTAATTCAGTTTAGCTGGATGATGCGAAGGTCTTCAAGGTGCAGAAGTAGGCAGGTGGCCTTCCGCAGGTAAAATGTGGATATTCATCTAGGCAGTACACTTAATGAAATCTTTGGGATGATGAAGACATTTTAGGGACACGTGTTGAAAATTTCACGGAACAGTTTTATGCTGCTAAGAAATAATTGGAGAGAATCTGTCTCTGTTAAATTTAAGTTACTTAGGTATTTTTAGGAAAGTAGTGTATCATTCCTACCTCTCTCCAGTTGGTAAACTAATCTCAGGACAGGCAAAGCCAGCGCTCTCGTGGTCGCTGCTCTCCCCTCACCGATCCTGCAGCCCCGAGGCTCCTCTACAGAGGACGGGGTGGGCCTGCCGGGGTCCATCTCGGTGGGCTCCCTGTATTGCTCAGGCCTGAAGCTCTGGCCCACGCTTAGTTCTCTCTTGTCAAGAGCTGCCTGACCTTACAGGTTGTTGTGAGGATAAAAAGGTGTGGTTGACCATGAAACCTTTCAAAAAACGCAAGTGCTAAAAGTGTGAACTGGTGTGACTGTGAAACTTGCTTGGTTTATAAGTGATCGTTACTTGATTTCATGAGTCATTCATATTATTAGAATATGAGTGCAAGTCATCTATACTTGTATAACCGAAGGAATCCTAATTCACCTGGTTCCTGGACACAGCTTCTAAACAGGGCCATGTGAGGTTACAGATCGCTACCTTTGTTTTTTCCCCATAAGAAAACTGAGAGGAGGTATCAGCCATGAATGTTAATTGACATGTTTCATGTTTCCAGATACATAGATCAAGGTCGAAATCCCCAACTCTATACCAAAGAGTGCCTGGAGAGGGCTCTGGCTAAAAATGAACAAGTTAAAGGCAAGATTGACACAATGAAGGTAAGGTTCTTGTCAACAGAAGATAATGTCAGAACATCAAGGAATGCTCACAGAGCAAATTTGGCTCATAGACTTTGTAAAACATCCGCTACTTGACAACATTACACAGTTGAGATTTCTGAAATGTGTAATAGGTAATAAAATTAAATAGTAGCAAGCCATGTAGTAGCATAATAAATGTAGCGACGTGGCTAGCCTCCCTTTTACGGAAGTCTGGGTTAATTTTTGTGGTGTTAGTTGTTGGCTAACTGTGCTTGTTTCCGTTTTTAAGATTTTAGTATCTCCAGGTTGCCCTTTGGTGCTTTCTGAGTCCTTCTGTTCGGCCTTGTTCTGTAACTGTGGGTCTTTGGTTTAGAGGATTGCCAAATCCTCCTTGACTTCTCTTTCTCTGGTGGTCGTCTCCAGCTTCCGACTCCAGACCCCTTTGCACTGTATACCCTATTCTCCACAGAGACCCTGCTCTTTGTGTTTCTTGGTTTTGATGGGATCGAGAAAACTGCATCTTGAACATGGTATATGGAGTGTTTTCTTACCTACGTTGACTCTTGTGTGGCCGGGGGCGGGGTGTGTGTGTGTGTGTGTGTGTGTGTGTGGTTTTCCTTTAGGTGGGCGGTGCCACCCCTTCCTGTTGGCCTCCGACAGCGAGCCCTCCTGCCTCCCCACCCCGCCGCAGCGCTGGCCTCGTTTGTGTTTCTGGAATTCACCAGCCCGTCTCCTTGTCTCCTGCCTGTCCATTCCCCTGCCGTCTCCTCTGCTGGGACTCCTGCACATCCTCTGCCCACTGCCTGTCCTCCGTGGTCAGCGTGTCACCTCCTCCGAGAGGCCGTGTGGCCCAGCCTTGGCTGATAAGGATCGGCCCTTCTGTCTCTGTCCTGTGTCCCCTGCTGCGCAGGGGCACAGGTGCCTGCTCGGTGTCTGCTGTTCGCAGGGATGGCCACGTGGAGGGCGCGCTGGCGAGGCAAGGGGCTGGCACAGAGGTGGTGATGGGACTGCCGTGACAGGCCCGTCTCATGCTGCCTGGACCACAGGGATCTGTGCTGATCTCTGGTGGCCTGCCCTGGAGGTGGCTTTGCTGTGAGGGTTAGTGTGGTGCCCCCGGCCTCATTTCTGCTTTGCCAGCTTGGGATTGAGTTGTTCTTGAACTGAGCATCACCTCTGGGGCACGATAGCGCTTTGGTGGAGAGCCAGCTGGGGTCCTTTGGGCCAGTCTGCGGGCAAGCCGGTCCGTCCAGCTCAGGGGACAACAGGCTGCCCCGCCCTTCCCCTTAAGAACAGGGCCGTGGCTGCTGGGCAATGTGCTCCCGGCTGCCCGCACTCCTGTTCGCCTCCCTGCCTCTGCGCCTGGAGATGGCCTGTCGGCGGTGACAGTAGCGACCGTGCTGTTTGTTCAGTTTGCACCCCTTTCTGTTGCCTCTTGGTGTCATTTCCTCTCATGAGATTGTGAACGTCTCACAGTGCAGTTTATGCCTGGTGGGTCGAGTGATTAAACTTGCACGAGTTCTGTCTGACGTGCTTTCTGTAGGGTTGGCATGTAGCCTCCTTTGAGGATGTGTTCCTGACCTATCTAAGGACCATCTCTTTGTTTATATCCGCGGTGCTGCTTTTCTGTACAGCTTATAAGAAAGGGTTTTGAGATGCTGGCAGATATTTAGCTGCTTTTAAGATTGGATTAAAACAAATGTTGTGCTGGTACGAAGGCTCAAGGAGCATGGTATTTGGAGAAGACAGGTTTCTAGGTGCTCTGAAAGCTTTGATCGAGAGCTGTTTGCACACCGTGGGTTTGATGTGGTTTGAATTAATAATTGCTTAATTATTACGTGAAGACTCCTGTTACACATGCTCCAATCATTTCCACCTGAGTGGCTGGCTCCGCGCTAGAGGGCTCCTTGTCATTTGAGGCAGGAGGGAAGGAGTAGTCTTTGAATGAGCACTCCTCTTTCAGGTAGTTCTCCATGTACCTGACGTACCTGCAGCATAGTTGCAAGCAGTTTCCTGCTGCGGTTTGGCAGGTGTGGCATCCAGGGAGATGAGCAGACAGTGCAGGGAAAGCCCAGTTTCTCTTGAGTTTGAGGCTCTGGTGGGGTGTTGTCTTTAAGTTGGGTGATGGGTCACAAGCAAAAACATCTTGACCGTGTATATTTTTCTTCTTAGAAATTTAAAAGCCTGTTGATTCAAGAACTCTCTAAAGTATTTCCTGAGGACATGGCCAAGTACCGGAGCGTCCGGGGGGAAGACCATCCTCCTTCCTAACTCCCTCCTCCGTCTGTCTGAAGGTCCTCCCAGCCCTGCACGAGTGGCCGTGACCTTCAGGCAGCCTTGACTGAGCCGCAGCGATGCTGTTTCCTGGGCCCATCCTCCCGCCACCTTGTCCTCTTCGTGGCCTCTGGGGACGGCAGGGCCTGGAGGGCGTGCAGGGCTGTGCCGCCAGCTGCCTCCTCTCCCTGACGTGCTCTGTTTGGTCCTCTAGCTCTCAGGGGACTGGTGATCACACAACTTTGAGTGAGTTGTGTATGATTCTCTATGGCCAAATAGTCTTGGAAATATTAAATATGATAGGGAAAGTAAAAGTTTTAAAAAATTCTACCTAATAGTTTTCTTTTAATATACTCGTTCTGTTCTTTTTTTTTTTTTTTCTTTTATGGTGTCAAAGAAAGCTAAACAAAAAAACAGAAGGAAAACTTGGTTGAATATAAGTACTTTAAATTCGTTTTGTATTTTATATTTTTAAGTATAGTGCATAAAGAATGTGTTCACTGGAACTGTGTTTCCATAGATTTCAGTTCGTCTAACATAATAAAGTCTTTAAGTACTTATAAGACTTGTTCCATGTAATTATTTCTGTAATGTTTTCATAGTATAGTATCTTGTATATCGTAAACAATTGTCACTTCCCTAAAGTGTGAGGGATATTGGTGAAGTTTGTTCTGCAGGCATTTAGGCAGGAAGAGCCAAAGTGAAATGCAGGATTCTGATTTCCCCGTGGCCTCTTTCACAGAGGACATTGTGGACGTATTGACACAGTTCAGGAACATGCCCCCAAGCCCGTCCCGGGGCCCCGTGTGTCCGCCTGAGGGGGCTGCCAGATGGCGGGGGCAGCTGCGCCTTCGGAGTCTGCAGGGCCGGACGGGCCTTGGGAGGTTGTGTGAACTTGGGCAGTGCTGTTGCCACACCTGTGGGCTGACTGAGCCGCAGGCCCCAGTGTGGTGTTTCTCGAGGGTCACCGCAGACCACGGCATTGGAATGACCTGGACTCGTTCATCGGAAAGGTGGGTCCAATTCAGACCTGTTGGGTAGAGGCTTTGGGCTGGGGCCCAGGAACCCGTGTTGTTGGTTTCCTGGCCCCAGTGATTCTGGACCCCTTAGAGCCAAGATCCACAGTTAGGGACTTGAGTCTCATTGGTGTGTGACAGTGGGCATGGTGTGGGCTCTGCTGACTGGCCTGTGTCCGGTGAGGCTGCGGGCGTGGCCGAGTGAAGTGAGGGTCAGAGCCCAGCTTGCAGCGTTCTCCGCTGACCCCTTCCCCGGGACGGGGGCTCGTGTGTGCCCTTGCTCCCCAAGGGAGTCTTATATTTGCTAGGAGTTGGGGGCCAGGCCCCTTAGGATGTTGCTACCTTGTTGTCAGTAGTTCCGCTCTCTCCAAAACATCACCAGAAAAGGATTCCCATCCTGGGCGCAGTTTCCTCTAGATGAGGGCTGCCCCGGCCAGTAGATCCTGGACCTGGAGGTTCCTCTCCTGCGTTGGCTTTTCCGCTTCTGACCGCCCTGTTAGCAGCTGCATGTGGGCGGTAGGGGGCCGGGCTCAAAGCCCTTCCTAACCCCTGTGCCCACGGGACAACTCAGTTGGTTCTCCCCCCAGTCCCCGGAGCTGCAAGAACTGTTACCGTATGACAGAGCCAGAAGTCACAGCTGATGTGCAGGGAGCGGCATGTTAATGCAGCCCGACTGTCCGGAGTGTGTTCTGACCCACTCCATTCCGTTGACTCAGTAGAAGACATCCCTTGCAGTTCCAGCAGTGACCCGATTACTCCAGACCATCCCTTGTCCTCTGTCTTAAAACATCGTGCGTGACCCAGACGTGGGCCTTCTCCCCAGCCTTCTCAGTGGGTGTATTTCCATTCCCTCTGCCTGGGTACCTGGTGGGTCCACAGGTGTCTGTAATTCCCCTCTGGGTTCTGAAACTCGCAGGATGTAGCTGGCAAAGGGCAGCTGTTGTGCACATCCGGGGCCTGAGAATCAGGCAGTTTCCAGCTATTTCTCAGCCTTGAGAAGAATGGCTGCCATCGATGAGTGGAGGTGCTGATCAAGTAGCCAGTGATGATACAAAGCCCCCCAGCCTGGGGGCCTGCTGAGCCAGGCCCAGCAGGGGCAGGGGTTGCCAGAGCCGGTCACTCTGGAATGTCCCTCCGTCTTTTCAGTACAAGTTAGGGTGTGTTGGGGGGAAGCCTTGGGACGCGTCAACAACTCTTCAGCGCATTTGACATTGCCTCTGCAGTGGAGCCCCCAAAAGATGCTGGGATGTCATGGTACATTCCCCTAAGTTCATGGGTTGGTCTCCGTTTTGCACCGGACCTGGCATTAGTATTCATTGCAAGTGCCAACCGCTTTCAAGTCCTCTTTAGGTGACTGAGCAGTCCCCGCTCAGAACGGACATCGTGTGACTCACGTGAAAGGCCTGCAGGCGGCCTTCTTGCAGACTCACGGGGAAGGTGGCGTGTTGAGCGTAACTGCCCACGGCCTTTAGGTTTCACTGGAAGGTCCAAGGCCGCATCCTAGACTCAGGCTGGGCACACTTGACCTCACTGCCCCTTCCCTTGGCCCTTTGACCCTTCCTCTCAAGGGCCTCATTTCAGTGAAAGCAATGATTGTTGTTGTCATCCTGGTGCAATAGCAACAATTTTGATGGGCTGCTTCTCTTTACGTCACCCCTGCTCATCCACGACGCTTAGTTAGTTGCAAACTCCTCCTTCGATTTTGAAGTCACCCCCGCCTGCACTTCGCCAAAACACTGATCAACCAACCAAGCAACCTGAAAGCCCAGTGATTTTCAACGCACAGCTACATCACTATGGCACCAAGAGGTGGGTCCTGGGACCTGAGCTTTAAAAGTCACTATTCTCGTTACCTATGCTGCCCCTGTGATTAAGAAAATGAAAAAGCAAATATTAAGCCCTGCCTTTATGCAGAAGTAGGATGCCCTTCATCTTTTTGGGTATACGATCATGTGTTCATTATGGAAAACTCTGAAAAATATAGCTAAGAGAGGCACATATATTGCCGTCCTTATTCTTAATATTGTGCCTTTTATCCATCCAGACGTTTTTCTACAAACACACAAGACACGCAAATGAATAGCTAGATGTGGAATTATTCCTGTACACATGAGTTAGTAACGTGCTTTTTTTTTTTTTTTTTCAAAGAGTGTACCACAAACATCTAGGCCAGTCAGTGAACTTCCTACATAATAATTTTTAACGCTTAGTGTTCCATTAGTGTGTAATGTTGTCACTTATGTAGCAGATATGGGTTAAGCATGCTATACACGTTGACTCAGTCGCCACAGGAAGTCTGTGGGGTAGTTTACAGATGAGAAAGCTGAGGCGCAGAGAGGTTGGGTGGCCTGCTCAGGCCACCCAGCTAACAAGGGTGGAGCGGGGCTTACACCTGATTTCTGGAAGTCTGAAATCAAGGTGTAGGCAGGGTCACGCTCT